GGAGATGCGGACTATGTCCGCGTTATTTGCCAGAACCTGGCAGAGGTTCTCAATAAATATTTACGTAATGAATTAACCAACTTTAAAGGTTTGCAAATAACTCCCCCATCCCCCACTCCTGACTCCAAGTTTCGTGTACTACATCTAAAATGTGTCTTCAAGCTCAGATTCTCCATCAACAGGGGCTCTTCACAAGCCTTAAGGCCTAGGCATTTCTCTTACAGCACAAGAGTGTAAATGAAGCTTGGCCAGAGGTCCTTGTCCTTGTGCCACGCACACTTCTTAGTCTTCATCCATGGTGCCTGCCAAACATGGTCTTCTACCTGGATCCTCCGCCTTTGCGCACTTTGACTTTCAAGTCCTGTGGATTCACGCCTGACCCTTTGGGAAACTGTGGTCAGGCCTGCCACAACTGCCCATGGAAGTAGCTCATGAGGAGCCAATTTCAAGAGTGCAGACAGCATGTCTGACGATCAGTGTAAGCTCAGCATGTTGCCAGGCACATAGCAGATAAGTCAATGAATACATCCATTTTCGGCAGCTACATCTGCTTCTGCTGGACATGTCTGTCTGTTCTGGTCTTCTTGCCCTCCTGGCAAGCAGACTCTTAGCTATATTTCTAACTTGGGTATATTCCTGACCTCCCAGCCCTGGGATGGAAGGAGACTCCAGGCCCTGACCTGGAGTCATCATTAATATGACAGAGGCTGTCATTCATCCCTGTGATTCTGAATTTACATGTCTACGGAGACACTTTTAAGCCCTTTTCTTGAGGTTGGCCGCACCTCCCCAGTCACATTTCCAGGAAGGGATAGTCACACATTTTGGGTGTGAGGAGATTTCTCATCAGTGGGTAGAATTACAAACTCTTAAGTCCAAAGGAGCCTAAAGAATGGTTTCTTCTGGAAGGAAGTCAGTGTTCCTCATTCTTCCTTGATATTTCTGGTCAAATCAGTGAATCCTTTGGACGGTTTTGTTTAAGCCAATACTTGAGGGAGTGGACTGCTGTCTAGATGACATTCTCGTAGCTAAACAGCCTGGATGTGTCTGGTGCGGTGGGCAGTGAATGAGGATCCTTCATCTGCAGGCAGACAGAAGGAAGCACAGCGCTGGAGTGGGCAGGGCTCTGGATCTTCCATGGAGACCCTGCCATCCCAGACACTCTTTATTTCCAAGGTCACCCAACCCAAACTTTCTGCCATGCTGGCTCCTAATCACGCCTAGCTTAGAGAAACTATTATTTCAGTTTAATTCATATATGTCTTACTGAATGCTTCATAAACTAAACTTTCCTTGTGGTAATGCATCAGAACCAACCTTTTCTATCACTAAGCAAATGACTTTAATGATCCCCACTTTTCAAATCTATTTGGGAGAGGAAGGGAAAGGAGACAGAAACATACCATTGCTTCTACCAAGTGTGATCTGTTAAGGAATAAGCCTTGAAGGGAGTAGTTTAAGTGGGAGGAGATGCAAACTGGATGTAAAATAGCTAGACCAAGAAAAAAAGTGACAATCTCTTCCTCTTCTAGTTTACTGGTGCTCGGGAGCAAGCTGGAGTCTCCTCCTCTGGTGTCCCTCTCCTCATCCCAGATACAGCCTGGACCATTCCTTTTTTCTCATCCATGACCTCAGTCAGAAGCCTTTTGATTTTCTCTATAATTCCTATCTTGAACGTCTCTCCTATTCTATTTGTTTCAGATTACCCCCATTTGACTCTTACAACACAATTCTCTTCTATTCCCCATATTCTTGTGTAACCCTAAGCAAAAAGAATGGGGAACTCTTGGAGTACATTTTAATACCAAAGAATATGAGATTCTCAGTACACAAGAAATTTTAACCTAAACATGAACCAGGAAATGGGATGGAACAATTAAGATGAAACTCAGCTCTGAAGCCTTTTACCTTTTCTGGTATCTGCACAGTGGAATAAAGCGTATTCACTGGATCTTCCTTTGGGATAGTTTCCTATTAAAAAAGAAACAACAAACAAAAGAAATTATCACCCACCTTCTGAGTCACATAGACAAGGCACGGAGACACTCAGAATCGAGAGAAGGGAAGCAGAGGTGGGTAGTGGGAACTGCTTGTGTTGGTGATGCTCTTATAATAAGTATTGACAACTTTTCCAGGAAGCCACTGCATTATTCTTAAACTGTGCTGTGTTTAAATGAATCTCAAAAATATATAAGATATATAAGTCTGATATGAGCTACAAGCCATGAACCTCCTAAGGTGGTTAAAGGCTAATTTGGAATAATGTTCCTGATATTGCAAATAAACTTTTTCAGCAGTTGAAGGGCCCTTGCAGAAAATCAGTAAGGATGACTGAAGGAACAAAACAAAACAAAATAATAGTAACAGTAACAACAATAACAAAAGCTCCTTCCCCACTGGAGAAAAATATCCTAGGTTGGTTAAGTTTATTCCTGAACATCCAAGGTAGTCCTGCAGCCTCCTGGGATGTGTCTCAAGCAAGGGAAGAGAAAGGATGGTGATAAAGTGATATATCTTTTCTTAAACCAGCTGAGTGGAGCGCAAAGCAATCTCTCCCATAAGGAAGGAAGAAGATTCCGGAATACTAATGACTTTGAAGAGGAAAAGTAATGTCTCCTCTTTGAAGGGGGTAAATGTAGGTAAATGCTGTAGTATGAGTAAGAAGATGCAACTTGATCAATAGACATCAAAGGCTGGAGTGAAACTGGGGTTTTGAGGCTCCAAAGTATTTTTATTTCTTCATTAAATGGGCCATTATGGAAAAGAGCTCTATAACCTCTAAAGAGCTAGCCCAGCCTGGGCTGCCATGATTGATCCTGGGGAGCCTTTTGAAGTTGTCTCATCTACTGACTTCATGTCTCCAAATTGCCTTTTCTTTAGATTTTGTTCTCATGATTTTCTTTTCAGAGGATTTCCTATGAATTACATTTGTGTCCACTCACTTCAGCTCTGTGACCTGCACTTGGGAAGCCTTGAGTATAGGCCCAGAGCCACCATAGGCCCTCTAAGCCTTCTCCTGAGAGCTCCTTGAGTCACCTCAGAGAGAAAAGGCATCTCTAGAGCAATCAGTCTTCTGACACCACGACTCCAGCATCATGTCGAAGTCACACTTCTCTACCCACTGCTTTATGCAAAAAGAATCTGGCCTTCTGAGTGGCCATCGTGGACTATAGAGGGAAGGGGTGATTCCAGGAACCACAGCATGAGCACTACTGGTTGGGTCAGAACCGGGTGCTCTGAGGCCACCAACTTCTGCACAGAAGAGAATCCATGAAGACTTAAGGGAAAGACACAGGTGCACTGGGTTTTAAGGGCTATATAGCCTCACTGCCCTCCCCCTTCCCATGTTGCCCAAAGCCATGGAAAAATCTCAAGTAAAAAAGGAGAGCCTCAGAGAGAGGGTCAAGTCCCAGGAAAGATGGGAAAGGACTCACATGATTGTAAGAGATTGTGTCGTACTCTGTGTTCTCTCCAGCATGGGGACAGAAATTAGGAATTTCCTGATGAATGTCTGTTGTCTTCTTCTCTTCAATGGACTCTAAAACCAAGTGGGGAGAGAATGAAAGCCTATCTCTCCTACCACTCATCAACCCCACTGGCCAGCCTTCCCTTCTGGATGACCCACTCAAGGTGACCAACCACCCCTGTAACTGAAGGGTTATCTGGGACAGGCTTTCAGTACTAAAACTGGGAAAATTCCAGACAAACCAGGATGAATTTGTGATCCTCGTTACTTTATTTCCTGATCTCTGCACAAAGGTGGCCAAAGTGGGATGCAGAAATGTCAGAAATGCTTTCAGAGGGCTTCTAAGGGGGAAGGGAGATCTCAAAGTCTGCAGTTCAAACCCTACTGATGCTTGGGTCCCTCCCAACACCCCACATGGACAACGTCAGTAGGAGCCTGAGGAGACAAATCAGCAGGGTTTAGGGACACAGAGCATGGGGTGCAGCTGAAGAGAGTCAAGGAAATGCTTCCCCAGGAGGAATGTGTCTGGACTGAGGTGGAAAGTAAAGAGAGGTCTCAGATTGATTTCATGGAGAGGACTGGGACAGGTTTAGGGGCTCTGATGGGAATGAGGATAGGAAGGGCTGACTGGAGCGTGCTGGTCTGTGGGGACCTCAGAATTGGGGGCCATTGCCTCCTAGGTCAGAGGAGCAGAGTCAGCAGTGCAGGGCCTGTGTCAGAAGAAGGGCCACATTTATAAGTCCCTCTGGGGGAAAGAGAGGAGTAGGCCCTGGAAAGGGAACTGGGAGGGCCAGGTCCTCAGGAGAGAAGGTGAGGACTCCAGCACTCTCTCTACTCCAGAGCTAAGGAGTGCAAGCTGCCTGTGTGCTTCCCCAAGGCCTCTTCATCTCTGACGTCGGCACCTGCACCAAGCCTGACACACAGCTCCATAAATGCTTGAATGAGGGTAAGGACAAAAACAGTACATGTTCTACCTTTTCCTTTCTCTCTCCGCATACTCAGAAGAACTAGCCCCATTAAAAGGGGACTGAGCAGGATGGGCACCAACAGGAAATGGAGGAGGACCATGGAGGAATCTGGGACACCTTTAAAGAAAGAACGGGTGGAGGCATGGGGAAAGGAGAAAAGTCAGCTTGGGAAAATGACCCAACATTTGGAGCACCTTTCACCTTCCTCCCAGCTTGGTGACTTCCCAAAGTGGCCTCCAGTTTTCACACAGGGCCTGTTCCCATGGGGACCAGGAACTGAAGAAGGTATAGGTCCTGGGGTCAGAGGCTCCTGTAGAGAGGGGAGAGGCAGTCACCTTCACAGAGCTTCCTGACAAGGATGGGGTTGGAGAAGTTGCTGCTGATGGGGTTCCTGGCCATGCAGATGAAGGTCATGTCCCCTTCCCCTTGTCTCCAGGAGACAGGGAGGATGGAGCCATCAAGGGTCTCATTGGCTGCTTGCCCCAGGGCCTCCCAGCTGTAAGTCACATCCTCTCCTCCATTTGCCATAGAGCATGTCAGGTTGGTTGTGCAGGTGCCATTCTTATTGCTCTGCAGACCTATGGTGACTTTGGGCTTTGACAGGTGCTCTGTGAAAGAGAAAGGACAATCAGGGATGGAAACCCTGCCTGTAGCTCTCCTTTCTCTGAATTATCCTTGGATACCTTGGACCTGAATCACCCTGGGAGCTCCAGAATGGAGAGCAAGCAGCAATTCAGAGCAGGATTCTCATTCTTATCTGGGAAAGGGAACTATCTAGGTCTACTTGCCTACAGCCATATAATAATATTAATAATAATGATAACAGTAACAACAAAAACAGCAATAATAGAACAAATAATGCAACAAGAACATAGCTGCCACCATGCATAGTCACATGGCAAGCACTGTGCTAAATAAATTGTAAATGTCAGCTAATTTTATCTCTTTTAGAGGCTCATTATTCTTTGTCCTCAGACTTCCTTTAAGAGACTTTCACTTTTCCTCTCCAGAGAGAATAATATTAAAACAACACTTTTAGTTCCCCTCTCTAGCTTGTGCTCACTCCCCTCCCTCAGAGGATGAGCAATTGGTTCATTGGTGAGATGATGAGTGTCTGATATCTACCAACTACCTTCTTCTATGCATGGGTTTGAGCTGTTAAAGATTGTGTTCAAATGTGGTTTGCCCTTTTCCTTCCTCCCTCAGCTGATTAGCCTGAAGAATGTATGTCTTCTGTTCAAATACACATGCATAACCACGTGTATATGTGATCAGGTGCCTGGCCTACTTCCTACAAGCAAGCTTGGAGGTCCGTCTCCTCATGTCCCTGACCCTGTGGCTCAGTGAGGGAGGCAGCTATTCTCCTTGTAGCTGGCTGAACAACTGTTTTCATAATTTCAGCTTCCCTGGATGGGCACCAAGCTCCAGACTTGGCAGGGAGGTATTTTTCCTATCTAGCTTTACCGGAAATAAAGCTGATATTTTTATCTTCCTTCTGATTCTGGTGTCTATTTATCAATTGGCTGGAATCTGCAGAGGAAGGGGTGTGATTGATCCTTATACCCAATAATTTTCCTAAGGTAGGCATTGATTTTCTCTCCATTATGGATATGGAAACTAAGACTCGAAGAAATTAAGTAACTTGGCTAAAGTCATGCAACTAATAAGTAAAGAAGCCAGCATTTGACCTAGATCTGTGTGATTGTCATTTTCCATGTGGCCCACCCACCATACCACACTGCTTCTTATAGTATCCCTGAGGAGGCAGGACCCCAGGGGTCAGCTACATCTACTTCATCCATGCAGGAGTCTCCTCTCCCACATTCTTGCCAAGTGTTCATCCAGCCTCTGCTGGAACAGCTCCTGTGTCAGGGAGCTCACCACCTCACCAAGGCAGCCATCCACCATCAGAACTGATTCTGCTCACCATAGACATGCAGCACATACTCCTGGGTGATGGGAAACAGGGAGAGTGAACGGTGTATCTCCACGTGGTAGGCACCTGAGTCATTCTTCATCAGTTTGCTGAGCTTCAGGGAGTGGCCTTTACCCAGGAACTCCATCCTTTCCTTATTACGATTTTGGGTCACTATGACATTGACTTTTTCGTCTCCCATTGGCTGTACCATGACGAGAATAGTTTTGTTAAAGGTCCAGCTAATACTGTCAACCTGCTCTTCTATGGCATTTAGGGGAAAAGTCACAGACCCACCAAGGGCACCGACCAGCTCCTTCAGGGCTCCAGAGGCTGCTGACCCTGCAGACACAGAGAACCATAAAATAAGCCCAAGTCCCTGCCCTTGTCACCAATTACTCACCCTCTTTGGGTCCTGGGAAGATCCTGAGAAACCCACTCGGTTCAACACAATCAGCCCCTGGGAAACCCTTCAGAACCTCTCTCACATGAAAGCACTGAGATCAGAACTTTCTGCCTGAAAAGGGCAACTGCAGGTGACCCTCCCCCACTTTTCCCAAAGACCTCTGGCTGGAAAGACCAAGCTCTGAGGTAGACCTGAAAGTCCAGCTCCATCTTTAACAGGTTCCTGTGAGGGGACAAGTGGAGAAGTTACTGCCCAAGTCTCCCATAGGACTGCCAGCTTGTGCCTAAGAGAGCCGGTGGAAAGGCTTGCTTGACCTGGGGCAGTGGTTCTTAGGCACAGATCAAGACGTTGGGAGGTGAGCTATATGTTCCTAATAATAGCGATAGCTTAGAAATTTGAGCGTGATTTGTCTTTCTATTTTATGGTAGATCAGAGTGGATTCAAGGTCATCCCCAAGTGAGATTCTCATTCGCTTGCATTCTAACATGCTTCCTTGAGTGGGAAGGAAAAAAGTGAGTGACAGGGAGCTCTGCAATATGTCCAGGCTAACTCGTGATGCTCGTCACAAACTATTAGGAGTTGTAGTAGGGTTTTACTTCCATGAGAAATTTTTGTTTCACCGTGATCTTAGTTCACTCCAGAAAGCATGTCTTATAAATAATCACCATGCGTTATGCGGCTCTAGGTGAAAAACTGTTAAGAATATCAGCTGAAGAAACTCTCAGAAGTGTTAAACTGAGCCCTTCCAGTGAATAGGTGTGGAGAATGAGTCATCTTCTACCTATTAAAATCTGAGAGGCAGACTCTGCGGACAGCACAGAGCAGTGAGAGAATTTAGATTCGGACTAACAGTTTAAAAACATCTACTGTGAGCTTGTTTAACTCTTGAAACAACCCTTAGAGGAAGGATTCTTATACCCCCATCTTACAGATCAAGAACCTGAGGCACAATGGGGTCAAGTGACTATCAAACTACAGAGTCAGTAGGTGGCAGAGCCCACATCAGTACCCACGGGGTTGAGACCTTAAAGGGCATATTTTACAGATGAAAAAGCTAAGTAGCAGAGATAGAAAGAATTTATTCAAGGCTGATAGAAATGGCAAAACTAAAATTAAATCTTTAAAGGTGTTTCTCCTTAAAAGGACAAAACCCAAAGTTATTTCCCCCCCTGACTCCTAACATAATGTGTCCAGTTGAAATTAAAAACCCAGAAAAACAGCCAAGCTATAGAATCCTGACAGTTGTGTTATAATGATGCAACTGCAACTCTATGTTTGTCCTTCTGTGGATCCTATGCACTTTTGCTGAAATTTTAAAAATTATATTTTATGACCATGTTGTTATAAAAATGAATTTAATCCAGGATGGATTCATTATATATTCATTCTTATTATTGTTGTTATATTCGTTTTTCTGGCTCTTTACAGAAAAAGTTTGCTAACTTCTGATTTAATGAGAAAACTGAGATTCGAAGAAAATCTAAATAACTTATCCAAGGGCACAAAACTAGTTAGGTGATGATTTGAGGATTTAACCAATGTCACTCCAGCTCTGGGACCTGGACTCTTTCCACTATGGCTCAGTTTGAAGGTCCCTGGCATTTGTACTAACTCTGGCCCACTCGCTCACTCCCCTTCCCCAAACCCCTAAGGGGCTCAGGTGTCAACTCCAAAGCTTTTGGGCCCCATTGAATCTCAATTTTCCTTCATGTTCTTTGGTGACCTTCTCTCAAGCATAAGTTACTCTATCAATACCTCAGGGTGAGGAAACCTCATGCTACAGAATGTTGATCTGCTCCCTTGATTACAAGTTTGAGGTCTCTACCAACTTTTTACTAAATTTATCTCCAAAACTACTGATTTCTCTTCCTGGGTAAATATCTTTTAGGAGCCGATTCCTATTTTCAATCATTTTCCTCCTGTAATGTATTAGTTAGTGTATATACGCTTTGGATCACTCAAGCCTTTATCAAATCATCCTGTTAAATATGATTTTTCAAAAAGCTGTCCCTCTCTACTTCCCTAATATTAAGGCCAGGATGGTTTCTGACTACTCTCTCTTTAATCATCCCAAGTGATATCAAAATAGTCCCAGTAGATACTACAGACAAAATCAAGTTTATTTAGTTATTTCTTTTTTCTCTGTACTTTAATAAATGCAAAATTTTGAATTTTCAATCGATTAATTAATGCATTCATTCTTTTACTTCAACAACAGAGATGGAAAGGGTGAATATCTTGAAGTCAAATAAAAATTGGGTATTACTTGTCCCCAAGTGGATGTGATCCCTAGACTTAGGTCAATGTTCAAGTAATTTTGTTTTCATATTAGGTTTTGGAGAGATGTTTAAGGTGGTGGCTTTAGCTCATTAGCATGCGTGCATGTGTGTATTTAAGCTGTGAGCAATTACTCTTTTCATCCTTCCACACATATGGTGCTACATTCTTGGGATACATGCCGAGAGATACGAATTGTGTGGGGGTATAAGCAAAGCCTTGTTCCTTCTTAGGATGAAATTCATTGTTCCTTATTAGAATCAAATTGGAGGATGACATAGGCCTAGATGGAGTATATTGTTCTATCTTAAGTGTATCTACAGGGTGAGAAGAGGTATCATGAAAGAAGAAGGCAGCTCCATGCCATTCCCCAATGTGGGTTTAGAGGATAGGGGGCAGGGTTGGAGAGTCCAAACTAGTTTTGTTTCTTCTTCCCAGTTGACCAGGTAAAAGGATCCAGAAACAAGACATTTCTCTTTTCAGCTGTCCCAGGCTGAATTGTGCATCCACTTTGTGTGATGGTTTTGCACCTGCAATGTGTGATACCATAGAGTTTGACCATATCTAAGCAGGTCATACTTGTCTCATTTAGTCATGAGACAAGAATTTATTTAGTTGTTTAGGAACTGAGGATACAACTAGGGGGCAAGACAGTCATGGTTCTTGTGCTCATGGAGTTGGGAGACACGCATTTAACAACTAACTGTGAGTGTTATGAAAAGGGAAATAACGGGCACTGTGGGGACATACAATGGGGGGACTTAACAAGATCTGTGGGATCAGAAGACACTCTGGAGAATGAGTGGCTGCCAACATCGCCTACCAAGCACCGGAGGATTGGGACCCGTGAGGCTCATCCACTCTCCTCCGATGTCCGCCTGCCACCTAATCAGTGCAGTGACTGCTGTGACTTGCCTCCTCTTCATCCATTTCACCCTCTCCTCTCGTATGTACCAGCCAAAGGGTTTGGGTAAGAATGACCGGCACTGGCTCCAGTGGTAGCCTCCTCTGGCACAGTAATTACTTCAGGGGTGTCTTAGGACCTGGGTTGATCGTACCTGAGAGAAGTGCAGGACGTTTGCTTTAAGGCCACGGTGAGGACACAATGCTACGAAATGATGTGAAGTGGAGGACTGCTGCCCACTCACTGTGGCCAGACAGGCAGCCAGGCCTCCGCCCTCTCTGGGCCTCAGTTCACCCTCTACCCCATGCTGTTGTTTGTGCCTTGTCCTCCTCTCTGTCCATCTAAATCCCATTCAAAGCCCCCAAAGCCTAATTCAAAGCCCTTCCCTGGGGAAGTCTCCTAATCTTCCTCACACCCATACCCTGAAAATTTACCACAAATGTCACCTCATTCTCACTTTAAATTCTCCAGAAAGAAATACTCCCCTGGATGGTGATTGGATATACCATCTTGCTGTGAATTAGCCAATGAGTGATCTGTAAGGATTAGGTCCCAGATCATCAGTGCTGGAGTCATGGGGTCCTGCCCAGAGAGGGGTGGAGATGGCTTCTCCTCCCCACAGCATGCAGCTGTGGAAAAAAGGGCTCTGGCCTAACCAGGAGTCAGGACACCTGGGTCCATGCTAGTCCCTCCATCCTCCTAACTCCAGCAATAAATACCTGGTATCACCCTGCAGTTAGCAAGCCAGTGTAGGGGGCACTATCTCTCTTGATCCTTAGAACAGCTCCGGGAGATAGAGGTCAAACCCTATGGCCCAAAGAAGAAGTGGAAGACATGGAGAGAGAAGTTAGTTAGTTCCTCTGCCTCAGAGGTCTGTGTTCTTTCCACCATGGCCTCACCGCTTACCACTTCAAGTTTTCATTTCTGAACTCTTACAGGGGAAAAAAAAAACACCTTTATTTGCCAGGAATTTGGGGAGAATGAAGTGCAAATACGGATTTGAAAGCATTTTGAGAAGTACAGAGTGGTCTAACAACATGAAGGGAGTGGGGAGGCAAGGACCACAAGTGTTATCATGAGTCAGGCCTTGAAGAGGCTTCCCACTTTTTGGTTTTATTTCTGCCAGGAAGGCTAAAAATGAGAAACTGACATTTCCCCAAACACTTTTGGATGGCTTACCAGCAGCAAGGTAAGCCAACAGGTTAAGACAGCAGTGAACATCCCCTAGTCAACCTGCCGTTGGAGGTGGAGGGAGCTGGGGCAGGAGACCCTTTGACTTCTGCCCTGGTCAAGACTCAGGTGTTCTGGCATCGGGAGAGTCAGCTCTGAGATGCCCTCCATAACAGGAAGGGACAACAGCTTCTCCCCCTTGCCACCTCCCTTTCCTCTGGGTTGTCAACTCCTCTTCTTTTCCTGTCCCCAAAAGTCTCAAGAGTCAAGTGGAAGGAAGGAGCCAAATTACAAGGAAGGTACAGGACCAAAGGGCGGTGATCCAGCGGGGAGACTGAGGGCAGGGAAGAGTGGAAAGCCCAGCTCCTGCTGGCCAGTCCTGTCCCCAAGCACCTCTCCCAGCACTTGGTGCCTCTGTCAGAATGCACCAGTGTGTTGCGGCACTTTCGTCATGGAAACCATGGACCAGAGCACCTCGGATCTGGGAGGAATCTTAGGGATTACTTAGTCCAATCCCACCTCCCAGATGAAGCGGCTGACGTTCAGAGGGTTATGGTGATGTTCCCAAGTCAGTGGAAGGCCAAGATCAGGAACCAAGGCTCCTGAGGCAGGATTTCCCAAACTGCTTCCACCCCCGTTGGAGTCCTTGATGGTGCCTCGGTGTATTTCTGGGGAGCTCAGGGGGAGACCTAAGGGTGGCAGGAGGTGATAGGGGCAGAAGCTATGGGACTTGCCTTCATCAGAGAGGCTTTAACATTGGAGTCATTATGTGTTTGTTTTTCTGTAATATTTCACTTCATAAAAGGAAACCACAGTTTAAAAAAGCAAAACGGTTTGGAAGTTACTGCTCTTTACCCAACTTCTCCTTAGCTAACGTGCTCTGGAAAGAGCGCTATAAATCAATGCCATTAGAGACGCATGGAGAATGGAGGCTTGCAAACCTCTCACTTCACCACACACCTTTCGCAATAGTCTAACTCTAATCTACCACGTTCACATTCAATCCCCCACCACTCTGCCCCTCACTCATCTTCTGCCCTTTGTTTCTTCTGGTTCTTTTCAACACTTCCCCCAATATCCCCTCACTCATTTTTTTCTGTTTTCCTTTTATTAATTGTCTCCTCAACACTACTGTGTCACTTAATCATCATAAAATATGTGAGGGGGACAGATTATTGTGCCCATTTTCCAGATGGAAATACCGAGGCCACCAGAGCTGCTCCTTGGCCCCTCTGAGCTTGGCCAAGGTGGTTCCCTGTTGGTGCATTCACAGCCCAGCAGCAGAGTTACCTGTTCTTCTTAAGCCTTTCTAATTCCTACCTTGCACTTACGTACCTGAAGAGGGAAGAAATCCCAGCTGGCTCTCCCAGTGGATGATTCAGCTCAAATACACATTTATTGAGCACCTCACTGGTGTCAGGTTCAGTGTTAGGCAGTTTGGTATGATAAAAAGAGCACCAGCTTTGGAAACTTAATCTCTGCTCTACCTTAAGATAGCTGTGTAATCTTGCCCAAGAAACTTGGCCTCTCTGAGCCTAAGTTTCCTTATCTATAAAACAAGGATTATAGTATCTGTCTTATAGACTTGTGAGGAGATTGTATGAAAAACATCTTGGATATAGTAGGAGCTGAATAAATGGTCATTTTTATTATAACTATTTTGCATTCGATATGTCATTTAAAACATCACAATAATTCTGCAAGTTAGATTTCATTATCTGTTATGCACTTGAGAAGAGCAAGGCTCAAAAGATGAGTAATTTGCTCACAATAATACAGCTATTAAGTCAAATGCAGGATGTCCTTGTCCAGGGACGGGACTCCTTCCACTTGTCTGCCCACTGGATGTTCTAGGACAATCTCTGACTCCTTTTGGCCACAGGCAATGTACCACACAAACTTCCCACAGCCTCCAGGAGCGGGGCAGAGGAGACCCCCATGGCAGATAGTCACAGGTGCACTCTGTTGCCATGGTTCAGGTTTCAGATGAGAACCTGGAGCTTTCAAACCCTCTGTCATGCCTTGCCCCACCTCACCTCCCTCAAGCTCTATTTCTGATCACCGTTTTCATTCAGGAAGTGGTTTTTAATGGGAAAGCCTATTTCAGGACCACCTGCTTAGAATCAGGTGCTAAGACAAAATTCTGATAAATTCAAGGGTATTAAGAGTCTGCTGATACTGACCACATAGAGAGGCCAGGTGATGGGGAGGGGAGGATTGCGCAAGCTGACTGCCTGTGTGGTCACTTCAGGCAGCTTGGGCACACAGAATGCACCAGTTATGCCAAGTCCTCAGAGGGCTACCTCATGGTGGGACTCCATGAGTATGATGACAGGAGGGACATTTCTCATTTATGGGGACCCTGATCTTTTCTGAGAGTCCTTAGGATAGTAAAATCTTCAAAGATTAGAATATCTGTGACAGCCTAGCACTCTGGGAGACGGAGGCAGGAGGATAGTTTGAGGTCAGGAGTTTGAGACCAGCCTGAGCAAGAGCAAGACCCCATCTCTGCTAAAAATAGAAAAAATTAGCTGGGTGTGCTGACACAAGCCTGTAGTCCCAGCTACTCAGGAGGCTGAGGCAGGAAGACTGCTTGAGCCCACGAATCTGGTGTTGCTGTGAGCTAGGCTGTTGCTGTGGCACTCTAGCCTGGGTGACAGAGCCAGACTCTGTCTCAAAAACAAACCAAAAAAAAAAAAAAAAATACCTGTGACAGGTGAATAGTCCTTGGTCCTCCATGCTCCATGGTATTAAACAGAAAGTACCTATGGTATGAGTTGTTTTTCTAAGTTGAGACTGATTATATTCCTTGAGTTAAGAGAGAAACTTTAAGTGATTCCTTCTATTTATATCATCGTTATGCATAACCTGTTAAAATGTATTTATAAATATATTTAAATTAAAAATATATTTGTAAACAAATAAATACACGCTTGTACAATCTCATTTTGCTTTTAAAGTTGCCCTTAAAGAGAGGGATGGCTGGAAGATAAAGTCCCTAAGGCCCAGGGAAGCTTCGACATTTCTCATCTAATTCATGGCAGACTCTGGATTAGAAGACAGGTGTTCTGATGCCCAGCACCACTTCTTTCAGCCCTTCCTTCCCTGGGACAGGCAGAAGGGGAGTTGGCTCACAGAGCCATTCCTTGTCCTCTCCCTCCAGTCTCTTTCTGCTCTCTGTGATTCAGAGACCAGAGGTTGGTAAAAAGCAATGTTAGATGAGAAAGCAGAGCCTCCGGAGTTGAGCCAGAGATCCAGAGTGGAACTAGGAGCCTGGGGGTACACTTCAGAGGAAGACAGTCAGGAGAATGGGAGATAATCTGGTGGGACTCACCTGTGAGCTGCCAGAGGAGAGAGATGAGGACAAGGCATGTTGAGGAACCAGCCATATCTTTCTCTGAATGTCAGTCACTTAAACGAACCCACTTCCCTCTCGTATTGCTCGAATCTCTTCTCTAGTCGGGGTTTTTAAAAAAAGGTGGGAGGGGTCATGGTCTTGACATGTGTGAATGAGTCATCTCTGATTTACTTAATGGCTTATCTCAGTGGCAAACACGTAATACTAATAGGCGTCTAATAAAGAAGGAAAAAATGAATTGAACCGCAAAGGTGATGGAATCCCATTTTACAGATAACGGATCACAGACTCGGAGAGAGGTTAGGAATTGATCAAGGCCATATGGGCTACCTTTTCTGCTATACCACATGACTAACTTCTCAGAGACTCAGAAAAAAAGGAAATAGAAAAAAATAGATGGGGGACAGAAGGGTGGCACTGGAGATGAGATTTATGGAGCTTTCCCAAGTACTAGGCACTGTGCTGGGAGTACATGCATTTTAAAAAAATGTATTCCTTGTAACAACTCTGTGAGTGAGATACTACTATAAATCCCACTTTACAGATGAGAAGATAAAGGCTTAGAGTATATTACAGCAGAATCAAGAATTTTTTTTTTCAAAGGTACAAAATTAATTTATCTATAAGTGTTGAGCTACTATATTCTTGGGTTTAGTTGCAGATTTGTAGCAAACGTAAGCACTGTTCACCACTTAAGCTAAGGAATTTAGAGACTTTTATTGTGTCATAATATTTTAGTCTCTTTAGTAATTTGTCCTAAGGTGGCTGAAAAATTACTTGTTATATGTCCTTTTGCATAAACCCCATAACTGAGAACGATTATATTCAGGAACCGCTAAGTCTATGGGAAGCAGGACATTTTTTATGATTGGGATAGATATTTGTACCACGTGGCCCAGAAAGGCAAAGTCTCTCATTTAGTATTTGTTTAGGCGTCTGTGTGCCCCTTCTTGATCTGGAGGGTCTAAACTAATTCGGTCCCTCGGAATCGGCCCTTATAATCTCACACACCCCCTCTTCTGTGATAGTCCCTAGGCCTAGAGGGAGGATGTTTGCAGCCTTAGTAACAAGGCATTGGCAGTGAACAACAGGTTGGGCCCGGTGGGATTCAATAGCTTTAAATCCTGGAGATATCAGGTAAACTTGCTATCCACCTAAAACTTGCCATGACTCAGTTTGTAAAAGACAACTGGATCCAAATTTCTTCTGATAAAACTGGAACTTGTTCACATGGCAAAACTTATTTGTCCTGTTAGGTAACCTAATTACACCTGATGATCAAAGTTTTGGGTAAAGCAGTTTCCATGGAAGTTCAATTTTCAAAAACCTTTTACCCCTTTTTTCCCCTTCGGTTTAAAATGATTTTTTTTCAATGTTTACATTTTAGCTAGAACTGGCTGTGAGACCTCCAGGTAGCCTTTCAAATGGAGATATAAACCATGAGTTTATCTCAATATCAGTAGAAAAAGTTAGCAGCAGGTTTTAGAGTAGCCAGAAAAGAAAAGAAGAAATAGCTTAAGAAACATTTTAATTCTATAATGGCAGGTCAACCATTTGAGCTCTGAATTTTCCTTGATGTAATTTGCCCTTTAGAAAAAACTTGTGCACAAGAATTGGCTTTAACCAGCCGGAGCCCAAGAAAACCTGGTATGCCTTTGAACCTTTCCATTTACAAAAATACTTGCAAGTACAGGCGCCATAAACCAACTTGGGAGCCTGAAGAGGGTCGTTCTCCTTTCTTTCCTCATTTTTTAAGGATTTGTTTCCCATTTTTCTTTAAAAAAAGCAACTGAACTATAGCCTAGGGTTTATTGTAGTGAATCAGACTGTGCTGATTGTGGGTGGGGGCTTCTCAGTGTTTCACCACTGAGTTGGTCCCACCCTCTTACATGTCACAGTTTCTCTCTTTGGGGGTCTAGTACCTCCAAGAGGGCTCAAAATGCTGAGTGATCAGCTCTTATATGTGTTTCCTGGACAAGCCTTCTTTTAATTAATTTTGTTGGGGGGGTTCCCTATAGGACCACTCATGCCGCGGAGAATCACCCCAGGCAACTCCCACTCAGGACCCCAGTCACCCAGGTGTGCCTTTCAGCTAGGAGGAGTAAAATACCCTTTCTCTTCAGAGCGGAGGAACTCAGTCTCTCGTTTATCTACAAACAAGACAGTTCAGTTTCCTCTTTTGTAAAAAAATCCGATTGAAATTAATTTTAGGATGAAAAGGCAATGGAGAAGACCCTTTAGAATGTACCTCCAAATCACAATTAGGATCCCAAGCAACAAATTCCTAGGAAAAGCACCAACTCAGAATAAACCAGGACCACCAACCAAAAATGGGAGGTCCAGAGCTCAGGAGGACTTACCAGTTCTGTTTTCTCCCAAAGGGGGCCATGATGGTACCTGGTGCCAAGTTCAGGCTACTCCTTCGGGGGTTCTGAGTTTTCTCTGAGCCTCATGTCTGGGTGCCAATCTTTGCAACAGAAAAGAAGCCAACTCTGTAAAATAATTTAAAGAGGTTTATTCTGAGCCAAATTTGAGGACTCTGGCCTGGAACCACGCCCAAGAAGTCTTTAGCAAGTGGACTCCAGAACTTGTATTAATCACAAGAAACCATTATGAGAAAAAAAAGGCCACAGAGTGAAAGAAGCCATTTGCAAAGCATATGTCCCTCCAGGGTCTTCTATCTAAAATATAAAAAGAAGTCCTATAAATCAATAAGAATTAGGCAGACAACCCACTGATCAACAGACTCAAATAGACACTTCATAAAAAAGGACATTCAAATGACTAATAAGAAGAAATCACTAAGAATATAATGCAAATAAGGGCTGGGTGCAGTGGCTCTTGAAAGGGATTGACAAGCCCTTAGAAGAATTTTTCCCTCTATCTGCATAAATCAGCTGAACTGATCAAAAGATCAAAAGGGGCAATTTACTTCCCTTCCTCTCCCTGTTATCTCAACGTATTGCAGAATTCAACCTGGCCTGTCCTGAATCATTTAAAACATAATACCTGTTTCTCGGATTAATTTACAAGTCAATCTTTTTCTCCAATCCATTCATCTTCCCTAGCAAATGTTTATCCCCCTAAATAGAATTACCTATACTTCTCATTTCCCCCCCTCCCCTCTAAAAGGCATCTACAAAAATATCTGAACTTCATTGGGATATTGAGTAATCACTCTGTGATTCTGCCCATGTGCATGGTAAATAAACTTTTCTTTTATTAATCTGCCTTAATTGTGAGTTGATGTTTTAGCAGACTTTCGGGGGGAAAGGGCAAATTTCCCCTGACCCCTACAGGAGAAACCCAAAGAAATTCACACCAAGACATATGTATAACCAAACTTCTGCAAACTGAAGACAGAGAAAAATCTTGAAAACAGCTAGAGAAAAATGACACATTGCCTACAGGGGCAAACAATTTGAAATGACTACTGATTTCTCATGGAAACCATTAAGGGCAGAAAGAGTGTCATGATACTTTTCAATTGCTAAGAGAAAATAACTGTCAGCCTAGAATTCTATGCCGAGGAATAAAGGTAAAATCAAGATAGTCTCAGGTGAAGGAAAATTAAGAGAATTTGTTACTAGCAGACTTATCCTGAAAGAATGGCAAAAGGAATATCTTAAAACAGAAAGAGGCTGGGCTTGGTGGCTCACGCCTGTAATCCTAGCTCTCTGGGAGGCCGAGGCGGGCGGATTGCTTGAGCTCAGGAGTTCGAAACCAGCCTGAGCAAGAGCGAGACCCCGTCTCTACTAAAAATAGAAAGAAATTAATCGGACAACTAAAAATACATAGAAAAAATCAGCCAGGCATGGTGGCGCATGCCTGTAGTCCCAGCTACTCGGGAGGCTGAGGCAGTAGGACCACTTGAGCCCAGGAGTTTGAGGTTGCTGTGAGCTAGGCTGACGCCATGGCACTCTAGCCCAGGCAACACAGTGAGACTCTGTCAAAAAAAAAAAAAAAAAAAAAAACAAACAGAAAGAAATAATAAAGAAAGGAAACTTGGAACTTTAGAAATGAAAAAATAATAATGAAAAGAGTAAAAATATGAGAAAATATAATAGATTTCCTTCTCCTGTTGAGTTTTCTGAATTATGGCTTTGGCCAAGACTCTCCATTTCACTTTCTCTGACATCACCCAAAGCAAGAAAGGGGAGGAGTACTTCATTACTGCAGGAAAGGAATGGAGGTTCAGTCTCTCCACTTGGCCTCTTCTGATGTCACCCCAGTGGAGAAGGAGGAAAAAGGGATGATTCCTTACTGCCAAGAGAGGCTGGAAGTCCAGGTTTTCCACTTCGCCTTAGGTGGTGTGGTGGGAGGTCCCATATTTTTCCTATGGTGTTTGGTTAGAATAGAGTGGATATTGTCTAAAGGATTATATCTTACTAGACTACCCTTTTCCCAGTCCTTTGGCAAGAGAAAGCAGGCTTTTCTTGGGATTGGCATTTCAAGGTTACAGTCTTAACTAGCACACAGACCATAATATATAGGAGACAAAAAGAAAACCCAGAGAACTCACTGCCATGTCATTCCAAGAGTCCAGAAGTCCCTAGCCAGTCCTTCTCTCCACCCTTAATAATCTTGTGTTTGTGCTTTATATGTAATAGACAGAGTTTTTATCTGTACTTAGTGGCAAGAATAGAGAAAAATGTGCTTACTCCATCTTGTCTGGAATGAGAAGTATGATTATGTGATTTTATATCCTTACTCTCCTATGACCCATTGAAATAACGGTGAAATCTTTAAAAAGGGCTTCTTGTGAATTCGCAAAATGAATCCATGTGTACACTTCCATCCTCTGACTTGAAAAAGACAGTAATGATAGATGAAACATTTTTAAATGTATTAAGGTGTATAGCCTTCCTTGAAATTAAGATAACAATTTCTGTGAATGAGAAATGGTGCAGAAACCCACAGCACATAAGAAGGAAGGGCATATGTGTCCACAGGAACTTGATACCAAAACCATGCAAACATAGGAAAAGAAAGTTATAGACCAGTATCACATATGAAGATAGTTGCAAAGATCCTAAATGAAA